CGGCCGATAAGATACGGCCCAACTATAAGCTAACCTACACTCTGGCGGGCCATACGAAGGCCGTGTCGTCCATTAAGTTCAGTCCGAACGGCGAATGGTTGGCCTCGTGTTCGGCCGATAAGATCGTGAAACTGTGGGGCGCTTACGACGGCAAGTTCGAGAAGACCATCGCCGGCCATAAGCTCGGCATTAGTGACATCTCCTGGAGCTCTGACTCGCGACTACTGGTCTCCGCTTCCGACGACAAGACGCTGAAGATCTGGGAGTGCGCTACTGTATGGACACAACTCCACACAACACCATATTTTCATTGAATTGTATTATTCATTATTATCTCTCCCATTGTTTTGTAGGGCAAAGGCCTGAAGACACTGAAGGGTCACTCAAACTATGTGTTTTGCTGTAATTTCAATCCGCAATCAAATCTAATCGTTTCCGGATCTGTAAGTTCTTTGCCGTTCACTTCATGTGATCTCTTTTGGTAACGACTTCTTGCGTTGTGTCCAACAGTTTGACGAATCGGTTCGCATATGGGATGTGAAGACAGGGAAGTGTCTGAAGACACTGCCCGCCCATTCAGACCCCGTATCGGCCGTGCATTTCAACAGAGACGGCACATTAGTGGCCAGCAGTTCGTACGACGGGTTGTGCCGTATTTGGGACACGGCTTCGGGTCAGTGTCTGAAGACATTGATCGACGACGACAACCCTCCCGTCTCTTTTGTCAAATTCTCGCCGAATGGCAAATATATTTTGGCCGCAACTCTGGACAACACTCTCAAGCTTTGGGATTATAGCAAAGGAAAGGTACGGTTCCCTCTCATCACTGCACTCATTGTCTACAATCTATTGTCTTAATTATGTTTTTTCCAATGATTAGTGTCTGAAGACATACACCGGACATAAGAATGAAAAATATTGCATTTTTGCCAACTTTTCGGTCACCGGCGGAAAGGTATTCAATGACTCTGTTTTGTGTATGATTTTACGAAATGAATTGTTGTTTGTGTTGAATCAGTGGATCGTTTCGGGATCTGAAGACAATTTGGTCTACATTTGGAATCTGCAGACCAAAGAGATTGTACAGAAGCTGAGCGGACACACAGATGTTGTCCTCTGCACTGCGTGTCACCCGACGGAGAATATCATCGCATCGGCCGCTCTCGAGAACGACAAGACCATTAAGATGTGGAAAAGTGACACTTAATTCAGTCGCTGGAAAGCATTATTATCTTCTTCCTCTTCAATACCATTTCATAGCATTCTTACCATAAAAGAGATCACGGATTCAATTCTCTCATTTCCTTTCTATTAATACTATTTTGTAATTTAATTTATAAATAATTCGCGAAATAATGTAAACCCTTTTCATCTCTTTTTACAATTTAATAATCAAACCATTTATTTGCAAATTTCCGAAAACTAATGTATTTGCAGACAATGTCTGAGATTTTATCATTGAGTTTGACTTTAATTTGTGAACATTTGATTAAATATCGTATCGAAAATCAATTGTGTCTTTAATTCAGTTTCTCATGGAATCAACAAAAAATTTATTTATCAAAAAAATTAAATTGTATTTTCAGTTTCAATTCATAACAATATTTGTGTGGATTTCGTTAAGTAATAAA